GATTGTATCTAGGGATAGAGCTTGACCCATTAGTAGTCTTAAACCCTAGCCCGTAATGCGGGTGTAGATATTGGGTACTCAAGGGATTGATATTCAATGTCCGCACCTAGACTCTTTCTCTAAGGGATTAGGTTTGAGTAAACTTATGGGTTGACTAAGCAATGTATGTAACAAGAGATTAAGGATACATTAGTGTTACGTTTGGTGAAATCTGACCCCCACAACCTCACAATACCACAATATCATTTCTAACCTTTTCCACTCTCAAACAAATATTTTTATAGCTTTCATTCCAGTAGTCATGATCTTTAATTCACATTCACATGACAAACTACAAATTGAAATTATTCTTTAGTCACGAATAGTCAATAAATGCTTATTTTACCTTCTAATCCCTGTGGATACGATATTTTTACTACTTGAACGGCCGGTATACTTGCCGTGTTTGAGACCGTTGATAGAATTAAACGAATTTACAAATATTAACAAAAGTGTTTCAACGGAAATCTCAACAGCTATCAATCAATTATTGCGAGAAGCAATAACAGTGAGCTAGCGGTGAAAGGTTTAGCATGTTCAAACCTGCTTGTCATCTATGTAAAGAAAGGACAATTACTTGGGTTTCAACACCAGTCAGAACTTAATTATTTTGTTGGGATATAAGTAAAATTCCACGTGATTTAAACAAGAAAATGAATATAAGCTTATATACACATAATTATCTTTAATGATTAAGAAAAACCTGTTGATTAATGTTCAATAAGACTGTGAGGACTTAAATTCATTATATAATTACAAATATCTTACATGTATATACGTGTGAAATTCTCTGGTGCCCAACATATATTTATACATGCACACGTTGCTCTTAATTACCATTTTTCATGCATGTTGTGGAACAGCAATGTGCCAAATCTTCCTTACATATATATATCATTAACTTTTCGTATTGGCAGATATGACATAAGTGAAGGATTGAGAAAACTACAATGTCGTTCTCTAAATTTTGTTGGGGACGTGTCACCTTTTCACTCGGAGGCTGTCCATATGAAATCTAAGTTGGATAGAGAGTAAATGAAATAGTTCTTTCAGCAATGACAAACTTGCTATTTCTTGCAAGTGTGACCAACTCTCCCAGGCATGGGTGATGACACTTCTTGCAATCATACTATAACACTAATTTCTAGTACGCGTGCAGCGCTATAGAAGAAAATGAAGCTAGAACAAACGACTTAGTATAGACAGTGAAATAAATGCCGTATTATTTACTGAGATTCTATTTTCTCAAGGCGAGTCAAGGATATCCTCATCAGTAACAGACCCAAAACCATGCAAAGTATGATTCGCAGAAATTGACTTCAGTAGTGTTGTTTTCTATTTAAATTAAGAAAAGGGCCCATTAAATCGTTACGCGACTTTGTTCCTTTAGTTTACACTAAACCTTTGATTACTGATGCTTATCCTGTTTCCATGGCTGCTCTGCAATCCTTCTTCGTTCCGACAAGCCTTTCTTTTATTCATCTCAGCATACATCTCTTCAATCATAGGTTTCCACAGCCGAACACGAGCATTTATAAACCAATTGGATACCTGTTCAAAAACACAGTGGATGACACAACCAAACAAGCATTTTAGATCGTTCCTCTTTAAACAAACAGATAACAAGGATGTAGCATGAGTAGTTAATAGGTATATAATACTAATACTAATACCTGGCTTCTTGTCAACCCACTTTTTACTGCAAGTAAATGCTTCTCTGCATCTTTAGGATACCTGAAAAATCCATCAAACAAATTCTTTAAATATACTCATGATTAAAGTATAAAATAAACCCATGAAAGAGGTATGCTTATATAGATGAAACTCACGGATGAAGGAAATTCTGAAACATCCAAGCTCGTAGAACTGAGACAGATCTTTCGGGCAAGCCTCTTTGGGGCCTCCACAACTGATCTTTTCTCTTCAACTGCTGGAGAGCCCATTGCTTTTGAAGGAATGAAGTTTCAACAGACCATTCATTCTCTTCTGAGCACGAGTTGTCGAAAGTTGAACCCATGGCAAGAATATAATTGATAATCCTCTCTCTTAAGTCCCTGTAAAGGATAGAGATGGTCTGAAGAGCAAAATGTGAATGTATTTGCGGGTCCAGCTCTGTAGCGGCATGGAATGCAGATACAACTGTGTGTATCTCATCCAAACACTGGCTATATCGATTGTCCACCTGAGTAAAAAAGGACGGTGCTAATTGCATCATTGCATGACAAGATTTCAGGATGAAAAGTGAGAACTTACATGTTCTAATGTTAAACTTCTCCAATTTTCTGGTTTCCAGAACATTATTATGAACCAATTATAGTAATTTATTTAATATCCATGAATATGAATAGGGAAAAGTGCAATGACATTGTTTGATAAACTTCTCTGGAAACATATGAAAGTAAAATGAATTGAACTAAAATCAATTTATGCATTTAACTTTTAAAGAAGCCCTCTCATCTAAATTCTCTAAAAGTTCAAGTTCGTAAGTTGATTTTACTTTATATGGTTGACTCAATTCATTTTATCATCTTATTTTCTTCTCTTATAAATACTTACAAAGAAGCTTATCTAAACATGACCATTGTCTATGAGACCATGACCAAAATTGAGGAAATTTAAGAATAGTGTCATACCAGTTGTAGAAGTGTCAGCAATTGGCCTTTCTTTGATTCAGTGGCATGACTTTGTAATGGAGACTCTGCACGAGCTTCATACACAGAATTTGCATTGTGATCTATCAGTATCCTTCTTTTGAGTGAGAAAGCTGAAGTTGACTTGTTCCCACCTGATCTATTAGAAGCAGCTGAATAATTTAACTGTTCTAAATTTTCAAATGAATATCTTGCAATTTGAGCAAGTATTTCTTGAATCCCAACAAGGTATCTTGACTCCAGTACTTCTGGTGAAAACTGTACATATTTATTACCACCCATATTCATAGAAAGTTCCCTACTGCTACTGCATGAGGCTTGTTCCAAGCCTAACATGGTTCCATCGACGCATGGGGTCACATTGGAGCAACTCACCTCTAAGCACTGTCCTGCGGTTGTAGACGTTGCAAGACTTAGAGAAAGTTCCTTACTAAAGTTAGAGGAATGGTAAGCATGATTGGACATGTTTGCAACATTTGCTGATGGCCATTCATCTGGATCCAGGTTTCCTACTATTGAAGAACAAGGCTGACACACAGTTGCATCAATCTCTGGAGCCTTAGGGAACTTGTTAGCATTCCATTTGCTAGGGACTTCATTGTAACCACAGTCCTCAAAAGATGCAGCCAAAGAGTTTGAAGAACCATGCAAAATGTTGAAGAATGGTGCCAGTGGCCCCGTTGAGCAGAGTGAGGGAGGCAAGGCTTCTGAGTTCTCTAATTTTTCTGCAAGACCAATTCTAGCGGCAAGAATGGCAGCAAGGGAAGAGGGAGTATTTGGCATTCCTCCAACTAAATGCTCTTGAAGCTCACTGTTCTCCATGGGATTTGAAGCATCTGCCACAATAGTCTTTCCTTGTGAGGTAACTAATGGACTAGAGTTGGCAATAATTGAAGGATTAATCAAGCAAGCATCAGCATAGGCATTGCTTATAAGTTCACCTTGCTCTCCAGAAAGCATTGGAATTCCATTTATGATGGTCTTGTTGTTAAGGTCAAGTGAATAGCACTGAATGAGAGGCTTTGAGGTGGAATGTTGGGAAATTTCATATGTTACTGTAGCACCTCGGCCAGCAATGTACATATCAGTCTCCATAAGCATAAGCAGTAATTAGTAACATGTAACAAGAGGCTCTTGATATTGCAGTGGTCTTTCAGAAAAGCTTTACTTCAATAGTGGTATGATCCTTCAATAGAGTCTAGTCATCCGAAGAGAGAAAAGGAAAATAGACCTACATAACAAGAAAACATCCCCACCATAAACTAGAGGAAGGGAGCAAATGGTTAAATAATTATGCAGCATGCGACTTAATCGAGCGTCATTTCAACATTCAAAATAGATATGCTGAAATAAGAAAGGGAAAATCGATCAAAGAGTGCTTTTAGATTAGTTATAAAATATCAACCGACAGCCAAATGAATTCATGAAATGTATCAAACCAAAATGATGCGAGCTAGCACAACCAACCTGAGATTTTTCATCACCCAACAAAGCAAGCGAAGCCACCAAAACATGAGACATTTAACAACTCCTTGCCAAGATATTTTGTCCTTAGAGAATCTACAATAATGTAAAAGAAAATGAAAAAGAACCGCAGTGGCAAATAGTAAGGTTATTAGTGTTGGAAACAATAAAAGAAATGAAGGCATTCCAAGGTCCAAACTTAGAAACTTACACCATGCCAAATGAAAGACCAACACCAAAGTTGTGCAGTTATGCTGATTTCTTTTGCATGAACAGAAACATCTTTTCCTTCAAGCATCCCAACCCCAAAACACGAGTTTCATTTTCTTAGACCCCATCAAGATATCCTGCACCACCCTCTTTGTCAAATCCTTAACACTAAGACACTCAAAATGTTATCTATCTAGTCTTGCATAAAGACAAGAAGTTGAAGAAGAAAACCAGCAAAAGGAAGAAAGAGTGTATAAAGTCCAAGGGAAAAAGAGGAATAAATAAATAAAGGATAGTGTTGAAGAGAAATTTTCACAGAAAAAATATTTTTTTAAAAAAAAATTATCAAAAAAAACCCCAACACCCTTTATTTACCAAAATAAACCATTTTATTGTTGCAGCTCAAAGGTTGATTTTCGAAAAATAAAATTCTGAACTTCATTTCCTTTATATATGGTGATTAACCCCGTCAGAATTCGATTTTTGAGGAGTTGAATTTCGAGCAGAATTTTTTTTAAAAAAATATTATTTTTTATAAAATTATAATATATATATATATATATTTAAAATA